TTTTGGTCAATCAAGGAAGTTAACAAGCTCTTAGTAGAGCTCCCAATTGTAAGGAGTCTGTTAATTGTTTAGTGGGGGTCAATGAGCTCTGATAAGAGCTTCTGATCTCAGGTGGTTTGTTGGTTGATTGGGGGAATCAATTAGCTCCAATAAGAACTCCCTATCACAAGAAGTTGGTTGGTTGATCAAGGGAGTCAATGGGCTCTGATAAGAGCCCCTGCTACCAAGAAGTTTGTTGGTCAATTGGGGGGTCAATTGGGGAGTCAATGAGCTCTGATAAGAGCTCCTGAGTGCAAGAAGTTTTTTTAGTTGATTGCGGAGTCAATGAGCTCTCATAAGAGCTACTGAATGCAAGATGTTTGTTGGTTGATTGGGGCACCAATGAGCTCTGATGAGAGCTCCCTATCACAAGAAGTTTGTCATTGTCATGCCAGCCCCCTCGAAAATAGAAAAACTTTGTTTCTAATTTTAGTAAAACCAACTTGACAATTTCCGTTGGTGGCACTTGGTAATAGATTGCAAAGAGGGCTTAATCCTCGTGAGATGTTGGTGCCAAGATAGCTAAGGACATAGTATCAGTGACACAAAATGGAGAAGACCCTATCCACCATCTCCCAATAAAATCCCAGGATGAGGAAGCAGACAAATGAATGTTTCTCCATGCTGAAGACTGCTCTCATGATCATGGCAGAATTGTAATTCAGTCACCTGATACTGATGTAGCTTTCCTTGGTTTCTCTATATATCATTATTTGAGATGTGACCAACCATGGTTCTGCACTGAGGCAAAAGACATAAGTTTTGCTCTGCTATCTTACACGTATAATACATCAGTCTTCTCATAGATAAGCTTAGACAAGAGCTTTGCCTGCTTCTAACAGCATACTGCACTGTTACAAGGATTGAAATCACAGGTGACTTTTGCCAGACTGGTGAAAGAAAGACTTGGAAGGCTCTTGCGAATAACAAACGTTCGTACTCACACTTACAGGACTTTAGAGAACAAGTATCAACGAGTTACTCAATCTCCTGAGACTTTCATAAACTAACTTTACACTCCTGCATGCAAGGCTGGTACAACAGCAATGACATCAGGTATGATGGGAATAATTTCACATATTTCATTGACTATCTTGTCATGTGCCTTCAAGATAGGAGATTGGAAATTGGTTGGTTGCTAGAACTTCAACACCTTTACCAACCTTACCTCAGAAATTGAGTATTTCTCAATTGTTTTTTTTTTTTTTTCAAATAAATTTGTCAGATAGGCTTTGTATTTTTCAAGCCAACAATATCTGCCATTTTTCTCATTTTCAGTATATATTATGAAAGTTAACAACAAAACATTAATAATTGACCCAGAGTGGTTATGACTGTTCTCTTTTAACACAAATAATTTTTATTTTCACAAAATCCTCTTATTGGGGTTTCCTTAGCAAACATTACCATGGTAAAAAATTGAACCAACCCCAATTAAAGCCCAATGAGTAACTGCAAAAGTTACTTCCCTCCCCCTCCCCAAAATATTTTTTTTACTCAGTAGAGCAGTTCTGGAGATATTGCTAAACATGATCCTGAACCCATACAAGTCATGTTGGTACTTCCAAAAGCATCACCACCCTTCCTTAAAAAAATAATCAGTGTGTTATCAGCAAATCAGCAAATCACCAACCCTGTAAGTTTTCACTATGCCTGGCTGAATGATGATCTCAAAGTATCATCCTGTCATGGTCCGATCTCAAACCCTCTATGCAGTGGGGGTGCTACAAAGTGCCTTTTTAGGCCTTTTTTTGAAATCTCTTCCTTGACTCTACACTGAATTTTATTTTGCTCGTGTTTTCAAATCTATTACAATGTTTATTTTTCCTATCAAACTTCTCTTCTCATTTTTAATTCATCTTTTTAATATGTACCCTAGAATATTTTTTGTTCTGATCCTTGTTTATTTCATCACTCTTATACTCACTACTGCATTACTCTCTATAGTAATTACCCCCCCCACTTTTACTTTTGAATATTTCCATTGTAACACAATGATCTTTGTTTTGAGTTTTCTCCTCTTAAACTTCTACCTTGAAACAATGGACCTCAAATGTATTATTTGCAAATGTATAACTCCAGGTTTCCTTTTCTTAATGATAGGAATAATAGATATGAGGCAAACAATTCCACAAATGAACAAAGGCTGATAGTTTCGAAACAAACTGTTTGGGGCTGCTTAGGTGGGGGTAACGAAATAATTTGGATATATCAACAAAGTTTCATTTTGGAGGAAAAGGACATGCTAACTCTCATGCACTTAAAGTAGATGTTGACATAAGAATTATATCAATTAACCCATGGACTTTCACGGTTCCCTTAGCTCATTTTTCTCACCAGATCGTAAACAATTCAGCTATTCACAATGGTGGACTGCTGTGTTTGCACCTCAACTCTTATTAACTTTTTTTGTTCATCAATGCTTAGTATAGATTCAAAAAGAATTTTTACAATAAATATTCACCTCTTAAAGGCCAAGATAGATTGAGAGAACTAGATGTATTAGACAAATACATGGCACTTATCGATGAAAGACTGTCTGTAACCTATGAATTTTCATCAGTCATCCCAAATTACAGACTTACTTACCCTGTATGATAACAATGTAGATTTCAGGTGCTTAGCAACTGAATCCACAAAAAGAGTCTTCAAGTTCATAGAATACAGGATAAAACAAATGGGCTAAATTAAGGGAGCTGGAATGCAAGAAGGCTGCAATGATGCTCTCAAGAAACTTACATCAGTTTGCCAACAACCTGAGTGAACTGGCTGCAAACTGAACCCTTTAACATCTGAGAGTGATAAGCAAAAAATTTCAACCAAAAATATCCCTGAATCAAATATAAAGGTAATTAAGCTCATAAAAATAAAGCTAAGTACCACAAGTTCAAGGAGCTCTTGATTGTTAGACAAATTCTCCATGTGTAGTAAGTACAAATTTAAAGGATATGTATAGAGAACATTATGGAGAACTTGCATACAGATGTTAACAAGGCGTAAAGGGTTAAGAGAGTGTGCTGACAACTTGTATGAGTTGTTATGAGTTGTATGAGTTCCATGGGTTAATTGATATAATTCTTATGTCAACATCTACTTTAAGTGCATGAGAGTTAGCATGTCCTTTTCCTCCAAGGTTAAGGTGAGTTTTTTAACATCTTACTAGTGTGCGGACAAGTAAAGAGAATGCGCACACTAACAGTTTAATAAGTTTACCTGCAGCTTAGGTGAGTTCACTAAAACTTTGGTTTGCAAAGTTAGATTATTTTATTAATTTTGCTTGAAGCAGGAAAGGTGAGCAAAGGGGCAAATGAAGGACAGTAATCTGCAGCTAGCAGACAAAAACCGATAAAAAAGCTTTCTCTTTTCATGAAATAAGAATTAATTCTTACTAAAATCGCCTCTCCAAGTCCAATTCATGACTCTCTGGCATCTTGCTCCTGGTTTGTTGAAGTCACATGCAGCGCAAGTTGCCTCATCAACCATAGCAGACGGCTATAGTAATGCAAAAAGAACACCAAAATAAATTATCTTCAACATGTACAGAGCAGAGATAAGAAAATTGTGGTGGTTATAACAGTGTACTACAAAATATCATGTCTCCTTCAAATGAATGGTAATTAGGGATGACATTAAGGATGAATTGTGACCGGTTTTACCAAACGTGCCCCACATCCTATTGTTCCTAAGCTGTTACCTGGAGTCTGTTGGTGAGTATAATGTTAGGGTACATGGCACCCACATCAAGATGATAGATTAAAGGGTTCTCCAGTCTAGCAGGTGTGTCTCGCAAACTTGCCAACCTGTCTTTGATCTCAGCACAAACCTTTCAAGAAACAAAAATAAAGTAATTATTGATGCTCTATCTAAAGAACAGCAAGGCTTTTGGGCACAATATCATAAGGCAGAGAATCAAAGGTAGATTGTCAGTGTGAAGAGCCATTGTTAACCCTTCCCACCCTAAAATCAGTATTATTTTCTCCATACTGTTCTCTATACATTTCCTAAGGTGCTGACAAGGAGAATTTGTTTAACAATCAAGAGTTTCCCTAGTTGGTGATGATTTCTTTCATTCTGAGGACCTGAATAATTATGTGATACTAAAGGGAGAATTTAGATCCTTGTCACTCTTACAGGTCAAAGGGTGAGATGAAAGCACAAAGGAGGCTGAGGTATCTTAAAGGTACACTAGCTACCAGGGCCCTGTCATCCTAGTGATAGAGACAACAGACAACTGCTAGGAGCTGTGTATTGTAGTTTAACTGGTCATGTGTACTTATAAGGCATCTGCTAGACAAGTCACAGCTGACTGATGCTATCAGTCAACTGCCCATTGCCAATGTTATTTAAGTTGGTAGACCATCGCTCACCATTATCGGCCAACTGCTTGACCATTAAGTTGCCGTCAGTAATCAGCAGCATATATATCGGCCAAGTGTCAGTGGTATATTGGTGGACTCATGTTGAGGTACATGTGTAGTTGCTTTGCTGGAATGGCAGCCATCTCCTAATCCTTTACCCATAAGAAGTGCAAAAGAAGAGTCTCCATCACCTATTACAAGTTTTACAAGTTTTACAAGTTTTACAAGTTTATTAGGTCTTCCAAAACAATTACTTACAATAAACATCACCTGCAAATAGCGAGCAAATCTAGGCGGGCGATGTTAAGGACAAACAAACACGAATTACTCATTGAAGGCGCTAAAAAAAGTCGTTTTTGAATACATTATTTGTCAAAAGAGGAAAAAAAAGTGATACAAAGTGAAGAGAAATATTATAATTTATGATTGAATTGTAATTAAGATGCCTTTTTATTTCAGAAATAAGAGTGCTAGTGTCAGCATAAGTGTCCAGAGTTTCTAGAGTTTCAAAGAGTAATGCTTGAATTTTCTTTTTGAACATGTGCTTAGGTAGTTTCCGATAGTTTTCGGGAATGCTCTTCCAAATTTTAGCACCAACAATGGAAAAAGAGTTTTTATGATGATTGAGCCTAGAATGATCAATTATAGTAGTTACCAGAAGATGATGAGCGAGTATTATACTGATGTATGTCTTGTGTAGAAGTAAATAGATTACAGATATTTTGAGGTGCAGAGTTAGAGGTTATATCAAACATAAAGATTGATGAAAGTTTGAAGTAGAGCATTGAGATTGGCAGAATGTTAGATTGGGCAAAATATGGAATCACATGCGTTCTGAAAGTCAGAAAATTGATGAGGCGAACGGCTCTCTTTTGGAGTATAAGAATTTTTTCTAAATGAGATTTGGAAGCTTGGCCCCAGGCAATGAGGCCGTAAGATATATAGCCNGTTTCGAGGGATTTTAGGTTTTTATCAGCGTATAAAAGGTTAGTGTCATCAGCAAAAAGGTAAAAGGTTAACTTGTCTGAGGCCATGTAGATACCATTTACATAAATAAGAAATAGTAGGGGGCCAAGTATTACCCATAGGGAGTGTGAAAGAAGAAGTCTCTATTGTCTACGCCCATATGTTGATAGGGCAAGAATACAGCTCAAACTGCCATCATTTTGAATACGTATCTGATGTAAGTCCTCGACAGAGATGAATGTTGCTGGCACTAAAGGTCAAGAATGGATGACAGCCGCTGAAAGTCCCTTTAAAAGGGCTAGAGAAAATAAGTTCACATTTGTGTAGAGAAGATAGAAGTCATTGTAAGCTGTCAGTGTCATTAAAGTATTCATGGCTGCATCCTGACCGAGTATCGTCTGACATACGTGTTGGCTGAGAGGGGGCTGATGTTGGGTGACATATGTAATCTGCTACCAGGTTGAGATAATAATTGAAACTCAGTTGACATGTTGACCGATTCTTGACCAACAGATGGGTTAAGTTAACACAATATGATTCATGCATGCTGTTAGGCACACACTTTGTAGGTTCCAAACAGACATTTCATGATTTTAACATGACGCATCTCTAGTCGTTACCAGGCCGAGCGAGTGATCTTGTTCGGTCATGTGTATGATGAATTTTGTTCTGAAGATTGTGAATGTGAATCCTTTTCATCCCATCGATTTCAACGAACATTTTTCAGTTATTTTGAGAAGGAACTCTCAGATTGTTTGTAAGTGTTTGACATTTCGATTTATTTGAGCTTTGTATACTTTCATTTTGCTTCATTTTGCTTCGCGTTTGCAAGTTTCGATTGTGTAATTCTACTTTCAGAGACACATTTGTATGCTGTTTATTTGACGAACTTGGATTAAAAGACTCTAAAATTAACCGATCGATTCAGCGGCTACACACTTTTCTAATTTTTCTCCCCTTTGGACAACTTGGTCCAGCTAACATTTCCCACCCAGTCTTTGGATCAAATTTGATTTTCACAGAACCACAAAGTTGGTTCAAATGAGTATACTAGGGCACTCATATACTTACCTCATCAAAATTTGTAACAGTGTCCATAGGAATATTTTCTTCCTCAACAATGGCATGTCGCATTGTACTTTCCACATTATCAATAAGCTTCTGGAATGCATCAGGAACCTAGTATATATATAGAAGGGGCTGAATTTACTCTCACAACTGAAGCATGTTGACACTCCTAGTCTACAAAAGGGTATACCCAGGTGGCATCATATAATTTTTATGGAGAGACAACTCCGGCATAGATCATATGCACCCTAAGTAGCCCTTATTGGTATACACTTTTTGGCCATTGCATTGGCAATTATATCCGTCTGAAATACTTCCAGTTGTAATCTTATATGTAAGTCCATGGTCTGTTGATTGTTAGCAAACACCTTTAACAGTCAGGCAACATGTGAAGCAAAATATAAGCCAACTATTGGTCAAAAACTTGCCAGGAAAAGGCCCTAAAATAATGACTGCCCCACTTAACATGACCCTAACCACTCATTTCCTGACACTTACCAATCGAAATCTACAAGGGATGTCACTTCTGAATACTCCTGACTCAAGAGCTTCTACATGGCCTCCGACATATGTCTCAGAGTCCAGCACATGGCCATCACCAGTCAGCTTATTAAAAGCCTGAAAAAAATGCAAGTGCAGCTTCTAGTTTCAGTGGCATAAGAACATAGCCAGTGAGTAATTGTGATAGCCAACTGGAAAAACAAAAAAACACAAGGAGCCAAACTCCTAGAAGTAAATTAAGCAAAATACAAATGACTAACATAAATGAATTAACCCTGACCTGTTCTTGCTTGTTAGGATATATGATGTTTGCATGGAAGGCTTGCACCATTAGCAGGGCTTCACACAATGTTCCTGATCCTTTTCTGAGCACCTACAATGTATGTCGTCACATTGAGTTAACACAAACCTGTAAACCTGGCAAAGAAATCCACCTTTGCAAAAAGGACAATAATTATTCATATCATTTTTTTTGTGTCCATGTTTTTCATTCTCTCTTTCTTCTTGCTCATGCAGCCAAATCTGTGTATTTCCTCTTGCATGATGACTGTTTATATCAAGCATAGTTGTGGATATTTAAAGGTGAGAGATTTAAACTGAGGTTTATTAGGGCCCCCTGATTCTAGACAGGACTTAAGGATCTACCAGTTATAACCCTTTAACTCCCTGGAGTGACCAAGACAGAATTTCTCCTCACAAAATCAATATAATATCAAGCAAACAAAGAGATAAGAATAAAGAATAATATCAATTGGGGATTATTAGTTGATCCAATACCAAATTCTTAGAACTAAGTCATAAGAATTGTATGGCAGACAGTGGGGAGAATTGGTAAGAGATCTTGAGAGTGATAGGGCTGAAGGTAAATTAAGCTCATTATAATGAAAGCTTGTCCTTGTTGTGACTTGACTTGAAGGCATTGAAGAGTAATAGGAAGACAATGAAGGCAGTGGGAGTAATACCCCTCATTTCCCATGGAGAAGTTCTAATTTAGCCAACCCTTACCTCAACTAGAGTTTTATACCTGCAGACATGAGAGTTAAACAGGACACATGCTCACCTCATCTGCTTCCATTGGAATAATGGTGCACAGTGCAAAGATAAATGGATGAACATATTTCATGTAAAGGTAGTAAGTGGCAACTGCATCAGAAACTGAGTAATTGGCCAATACCTGGTCAGGAGAAATTTGAACGTACAGTTTAACATTCCTGTCATCCTATCACAATCTGAGAAAATTAACTTAGACTAACACAAAAATTGGAGTATAATAATTAACAATTATTCCACGAGCGCGCGTTGGATATGAGATGATAGATAGCCAATGAGGCGCGTAGCGCCGAGTTGGCTATAATCATCTCATATCCANCAATACCAAATTCTTAGAACTAAGTCATAAGAATTGTATGGCAGACAGTGGGGAGAATTGGTAAGAGATCTTGAGAGTGATAGGGCTGAAGGTAAATTAAGCTCATTATAATGAAAGCTTGTCCTTGTTGTGACTTGACTTGAAGGCATTGAAGAGTAATAGGAAGACAATGAAGGCAGTGGGAGTAATACCCCTCATTTCCCATGGAGAAGTTCTAATTTAGCCAACCCTTACCTCAACTAGAGTTTTATACCTGCAGACATGAGAGTTAAACAGGACACATGCTCACCTCATCTGCTTCCATTGGAATAATGGTGCACAGTGCAAAGATAAATGGATGAACATATTTCATGTAAAGGTAGTAAGTGGCAACTGCATCAGAAACTGAGTAATTGGCCAATACCTGGTCAGGAGAAATTTGAACGTACAGTTTAACATTCCTGTCATCCTATCACAATCTGAGAAAATTAACTTAGACTAACACAAAAATTGGAGTAATAATGCATTTTAGTATAATTTCAGAGCTGAGCAAAGAGTTTCCAGCAATCTGATTGGTTGAGCGGTTCCTTATATGACACTATATAAACTGCTCCACGCGGTTTATGTAAAATGTTAATAAATTGTTATGATTTTAGAAATTTCTCTGTTGTTCAGCTCTGAAATTATACTAAAACAATTAATCACCTCAGGTTCAGTGAATACTGTCCAATAATCCCCTCGACTTCGTCCTAGGGATTATTCGACGATATTCAGCTGGCCTTAGGCGAATAATTGTTAAATACAACAAATTTACTTTGTTGAGGATACATGGAATAGGACCATTGGTTATCTTGAATTTATGTTGCTCAACAACTACAAAGTTTAGAAGCACAGGGTAACATCATTCAGATCACATGGTGACCATCATGCTTTGAGGGTTTTTCTCCATGATCCCTAGTATTCTTTCATCCACTGCAACTAGCATTCTAAATTCTAATTTGACTGGAGAGCATTGGACTAAAAGCCCTTTGGTAGAAATCCCACCACTTAAGTCTATTCATTTAATTATGAAGTTATCTATGCATGCTTGGATGCTAGGCAGCAGTTTTAAAACATTTCTTACCTGAGGCTGCTCTCTGGCCATGCGACACATCTCCTCAGGATCCAGTTCAATGGGATCATAACGCAGCTTAGCCTGAGTAGAGACAAAGACAAATATCAGACAACAAAACGAATGACAACTATAAATTACTCAATATGCAAAATCAGACAACATAAATGACAACTGAGGACTCGACACACGAAGGATTTCAAGTTTTTTTTTCTTTTACCCCATCTTGAGGAAGTTTACTTTTAAAAATGGAGAGGAAATGATAAGTGGGATGAAGAAATGATGAATCAAGTTAAATATTAGTTAAGTGAGTTGGATCACTTAGTTAGACAAAGATTTGAAACTTCTGATTTCCAATTTGTTCTATTTTCTGTATTCTTATCCATCTTCCTTCCTCATTTTCTTCTTTTTCTAAGCTTCCTGTACTACCTATATTTTGTAGCTTTCTTTAAGATCAGTTGTTCTACTGCACACCAAAAAAAAAAAAACCCTTAAATATATTCTGATACAGCCCCATTTAGTAGGATTAAAAAAATGAATCAACTCAAAAAGAGTCTGATAAAATAATAAAATATGTTTTCCTCTCCATACTTTGGTGGTAGCCTTCAAGTTTTGACTTCCAACAGGGAGGTAGCTGTCTCTTTTAACCCATCTACAGAAAAACAGCAAATGAAATAAAAAACAAGTTAGAGTAACCACATTTTCAGCATATTCAAGCAAATTCTGATGATGCGATCAATTTACAGAATCATCCAAACTTGTTTCAGGTAAATAATTTTTATGCATATAAATGGCCACTGTGTATATGGCCACTGTGTAAATTTCTTAAATAGTATTTCAATCACTGGATGGCTTTTGACATCAGCACCCTTGTCAAACGGGGTTAATTAAAACAGTTATGACCGTCAGGCAGTTTTGGTTGCCTAGAACCTGTTATTAACAGCCCTACCATCATCACATTTCCTTGACTGTTAAAATTAGTACCCAGTTTTACTCCTATGTGGAGAGGCATTGTAAGAGTAAAATTGATTGTCTTGCCCAAGAATACAACACAATGATTGCACTATGGTTTGTACCCAGACCTCTTCTCCTCCACAAATTGTGCTAAACACTTAGCCACAAAATTATAGAGAGAATATGCCAACAAAAAGAATAAAGAAAAATAATTGTCAAAAAATAATCGACAGACAAACCTGAAAGCATCCATGTGGATTGCTGCACGGCTTTTGTACTCTCCTTGTGCATCAGCACAAAAGCCTGTAAGAGTGTTTCAGAAAACTTACTCATCCTGAAATGCATATAAACTGAGGGGGGGAAGGGTGCATGACAAATTTGAAATTCATGATTGAGTCATAAAGTATAGAAAAATTAAAGTCCTCCCAACCCCACCAAACCTAGTGTTCGTGAAACAAAATAACATCGGAATTATTTGCTCCAAGTAAATTTTATCCTGTAATTAACATGTTAGTATCTGACTGTGCTCAGCATGTTATCACCTGTAAGTTGATCAAGGTAACTGTAAATCAGTCCTTTGTCAGTTGGGAGAAAATAACTGAGTCACTGGCTCATTAACTGACTGCCTGTTTATCTATTTATATAATTATTCTCTTAGAATATTTTGTAAAGCCCTGAAGAACTCTATACTTAATTGTTACTCTTTTTAATTATCTACTTTAGTGCATAAAGTAATACTTCTTTTTTTTATTAAAAAAAAAAAAAATTATTCTTAACTTTGCCCTTAACTGTATCTTATAATTAGGAGTCATCCACTACGTTAGCCTTTGCTATTTGGATGATCCTAACTCGCTACCTATTAATTTTTATTGCTAAATCTTTTTCTCCTTATTGCTTTGCTGTACTGTGTTTAGTTGCTATGTAAATTCTTTTATGCCTTAATTTCTCTCTCTGCCCAAAACAAATCTACAAATGCTGCTCTTGCCTGAGCTCAGTTTACTGGGCACCAAAAAATAACAAACTTAAGTTGGAGCAATATGGCTATGGAAAATAGGTCCACAGCCACTTTTATTGAAACAAACAGAACAAGAATGAATTCCGCTAAGGTGTTTGCCCAGTAAAGATGCGGGCCAAGAAAAATGCACCAATACTAAATATACAACAAGAGAAAGTGGGCGGATCAGGGGGAGGAGGAGGGAGTCAAAAAAACAGCTTCTCACTCCGAGAGGGGGTCAAGCGTAATGGCCATTGACCCCTGACCCAAACCCAGTCCCCCTTGATTGTGAAATAAACCCGGGTCAAAGAGAGAAGGCATAAAAATTCTATTTGCAAGCAAATATTTTGTGTAAAACTGAGCTGAGTTAAAAATAAATCATCATCTGTAAGAACTGACTTGTTTCAAAGCATTATTTCTCACCAATTTCATCAAACATGTTGATACCATGATGTGCTGCACGGGCCTCAACAAATGGCCTGAAAAGCATATTGCAAAGTGAGTATATAAACAGTAGAAGGGCAGGTTCTGGCCTGGGTAAACACCCAAAACCTCCCCCATTTGGACTAGAAATGGCTCACATATCAAGAATACCTGTCTAGAACAACCCTATGAATTCATGCATCATGCAATTACAAGACACATTACAATCATGACCTTTCTAGTTAAAAGCGTCCTCTTGTTTTCTTGAGGTGTTCATTAAGGTGGAGATTACTAATAATTTGTATTCTAACCCTGCTTAGTAAGCTCACATACATTGCCAGGCAGGAGGCAGAGGGTCCAAGCCCAGACAAAGACAAAACTCTGCGACTTAAAATAATAGTTCATTTTACAGTTGTGTGCTTGGTTGCCAAGCCTTTGAATGGGTGTGAGGATGAGGGTGACCTTGTTATGATACAAACCTTAGCTTGCTGCCTTTCAAATGTAAATCACTTCGTTATCATACTCACTAGATACAGGTCTCTATCATGACAAGGTCACCTTCAGCCTCACTCTGAATCAAAGGCTTGGCAACTAAGTACACAACTGTAAAATGGCCTATTGAGGAGAATGTGCTGCCTTTGCTGTGACTTCTGCAAATGGTTAGACATTCTAGTCTTCTGGAATAAGGATAGAAAACCAAAGGCCTAAATGTCTCCTGCATCTTCTTTGTGTTAACTACAGTTGTAGCAAGGAACATTAAAGAACTATACACTAATCTCCTACAGAGTGGGGAACAATTGGCTCCTGATGTTGTGGTCTGCCCTTGTTATAGTTTAAACAGGCCCCCATTCAAACCATCCAAGGAAATTACAAGAAATCTCTTACCAATCAAAGGAATCTCCATTGTAGGTTACAAATATATTTGGTTTGACTTCCAGAATATGCTCGAAAAAACGCTGGAGTAGGCTTAGCTAGAAAGAGAAGCATTGAAAAATATAATATTTTTTAAAAGATCAGCAATAATGTTTCAATACCCAGCCAAGTAATAAATCTAATTATAACATAACCAAAGTAAAGCACACGCTCTGATTGGT